GATACACGTGGAGTATATAGTAGATACACTGGGCGTATATAGTGAATACACTGGGGTATATAGTAGATACACTGGGAGTATATACTGGATACACTGGGAGTATATAGTGGATACACTAGAAGTATATAGTGGAAACACTAGAAGTATATAGTGGTNGGGCGTATATAGTGACTACACTGGGAGTATATATTGGATACACTGGGAGTACATAGTGAATACACTGGGTTTACATAGTGGATACACTAGGAGTATATAGTGGAAGCACTAGTAGTATATAGTGGCTGCACTTGGAGTATAAAGTGGATACACTGGGAGTATATAGTGGATACACTGGGAGTATATATTGGATACACTTGGAGTATATAGTGGATACACAGGGAGTATATAGTGGATAAATTAGTAGTATATAATGGCTACATTTGGAGTATATAGTGGATACACTGGGAGTATATAGTGGATAAACTAGTAGTATATAGTGGCTACACTTGGAGAATATAGTGGATACACTGGGAGTATATAGTGGATAAACTAGTAGTATATAGTGGCTATACTTGGAGTATAAAGTGGATACACTAGTAGTATATATTGGATACACTGGGAGTATATAGTGGAAACACTAGATGTATATAGTGGAAACACTAGTAGTATAAAGTGGATACACTGGGAGTATATATTGGATACATTAGGAGTATATAGTGGAAACACTAGATGTATATAGTGGAAACACTAGTAGTATAAAGTTGATACACTGTAAGTATATAGTGAATACACTGGGAGTATATACTGGATACACTGGGAGTATATATTGGATACACTGGGAGTATATATTGGATACACTAGGAGTATATAGTGGAAACACTAGATATATATAGTGGAAACACTAGTAGTATATAGTGGATATACTGTAGGTATATAGTGGAAACACTGAGGGTTTATAGTGAATACATTGGGAGTATATAGTAGATACACTGGGAGTATATAGTTGAAACAATAGGAGTATATAGAGGATACACTGGGGGTATATAGTGGATAGACTATGACTACATAGTGGATACATTGGTAGTATATAGTGGATACACTGGCAGTATATAGTGAATACACTGGGGGTATATAGTAGATACACTGGGGGTATATATTGGATACACTGGGAGTATATAGTGGATACACTAGGGTATAAAGTGGCTACACTTTGAGTATATAGTGACTACACTGGGAGTATATAGTGGATACACTTTAGGTATATAGTGGATACACTGGGAGTATATAGTGGATACACTGGGAGTATATAGTGACTACACTATTAGTATATAGTGGATACACTGGGAGTATATATTGGATACACTTGGAGTATATAGTGGATACACTAGTAGTATATGGTGAATACACTGGGAATATATTGTGGATAAATTGGGCGTATATAGTGGAAACACTGGGCGTATATGGTGGATACACTGGGCGTTTATAGTGTATACAATGGGCGTATATGGTGGAAAGAATGGGTGTATATAGTGGATACATTGGGTGTATATAGTGGAAACACTGGGCGTATATGGTGGATACACTGGGCGTTTATAGTGTATACAATGGGCGTATATGGTGGAAAGAATGGGTGTATATAGTGGATACATTGGGTGTATATAGTGGAAACACTGGGCGTATATAGTGGATATGATTAAAAAGTCACTTTTAAACTTCCTTGCCATCTGTCAGAATCAATATCTCGATATTACACAAAGTCCAAACCAAGGCGATCTGCATCTTTGTTTATTATGTTCTGTTATATCAATTTTACATGTGTTTTCTCATACGTAAGGGGACCTGCGTGACCCAGAGTCGGACACCAGCCGAGCACATGGCGCACCCGACCCAACATATGACGGTAGTAATGGTGACAGGGGTGAGAGGCTTTGGCAAATGTCTCTCAAAAAGTTAAAGTCAAACTTCAAAAGGGAATTAAGGTAACATAATATTCAAATAAACCATGACAGGCTCAGTTGTTCAAAATGTGAATTGTTCAACCCACGAGTCTTTACAAATACATTGGCTTCACTGAAGAGTTCTTAGAAATGGTGTATGGTGTTAAAGTTATGCTGGAAAATGTCGTTTTTGGCAGTGGTATTGGAATCGTTAAAATCACACTTAGGCTTGTATTTGGTCATTTAGATAGAGAGTGATATGTATATGGAAACTATAAGGTAGCGAAGAGCTTTTAATCATCCTGATAGGGTAAAAATGCCAATAGTTCCTGCGACAAGGATGCATACTCTTTGCATTATGATGTTCTGTATGAACTACTTAATATACAAAGTAATTGAAAACACGGACATTTCAATCCAGTGAAATTTCTCATTTTTTCAACTTCTATAATAAAAAATATTTCCTTCAAGTTAACTGATAAGTCAATTTTGCGGTCAGTCAAATACTGGTTTAGTCCATATTCCCTGGTGTCGTTATGATTTATTGAGCAACCTTTCAGTACTTCAATATTGTTTAGTTTTGTGATGTTTTCCCCTTTAGTTTTGGTGTTTTCTCGGTGAATGCTGATTTTTGAACTAGTTGTTTATTTTTTTTATTTTTTTTTCATTTAAGTTGCTTTAAAAAGAAAGCTTTATACAATTGTTAATATTTGTAAACCACGTATTTAAAAGACTTAATGGCTGTATTGTAAGTCGACATCCGTGTGTTATATGGGGTCCTTAGACGGAGCTTCAAACGTTATGAGCATTAGTGACAGGAAATATGCCTTTTTGTCCTGTGAGAGATACCGATTGATTTCAGGAGTTTACTTAAACACCACATGAACGGCCATAGCGGGCCTACTTGTTAGGGAGGCTTATGAAAACACATTGCTGAGAATCTTTTTTTTTTGTCATTCAAGTGTCTCCTACATGTTCTTAGAAGAAAGTATTTGTGAAAGATATTTAATGAAGGTTGCTGATCTCCTTCATCACAACGAAACCTACAAAGCAGGCGAAGTTCTGGCAGTTTTAGCTGCTACCATAGCTGGTGGAAAAGGTGAGTGCTATCTGTCTTGTATTGATGATACATTAAAATTTAAATCAATTTGCTTATAAAAAACAGACGTTGGAATTTTTGAAACAAATCTACACATCGGGACAATTTTTTTATCAATTATAGTTAAGTACTTGTGGCAATTCCATATTAAAGTAATAATCATTCTCTATTGCTATTAGAAATATGGGAGTTCAAAATAAAAATTAATAATGGTCAAAATTGAAAATGAGATAGACATTCAGAACCTTGATGGTAATTAAGAAACATCGATATATGAAACTTACTTAATACTGAAGTCCCCCCCACCCCCCCACCCCCACCCAAATATATATATATTATGAATGACCATAATAAAACAACACCAAACTGCATTTTTTTCTAGTANCCATTTCTTAAAAACGCGGTCTCATAATTATAATGCTATATAGTATACTATTTTATATACAAATACTAATTGAATTTGACTCTAAGGTATGTTAAGATAATGTATTGTGGGATGTATTCAATTTAATACAGAAGAATAAAACGGTTTGTGTTTTAGTTATTTTTTCACGAAAAATATTCTGATTATTTGAAATATCTCTCTAAATCAATTTCATATGGGATGAGCCAATTTGAGGAATAATGATTCGCTTAAAATAATGTACCCTGTATAATGCCATATTGATAAGCATTAATAACATATGTTTCCCATTTAATGTATAGGTGAACTAACAGTCGATATAAATATTTTATTTCACATTTCTATTGAAGAAAAAGAAAACAGTGGCTACCATTTCCGAATCAATCGGGTAATGTTCGGAGACCTAGATATATGGATGGCCTCGTTCATTCTTTCGTTCGATGGTAAAGGGAGGGAACACCTATTAGACGTTCTAAGAGGCATACACAGGTAAGTTATCGACAGCGGGAACATATATTCACATGTTCAATAAACATCTACGTTATGCAGTCAATATGAAAGTTGTTTAAACCGGACCCCACCAAGTTGTTATTTTCGGAAATAACGATTGGAATATTGTACAACAAGTTTCTGAAGTATTTTATTATAATTTTTTTTAATAGTTGCACCCATCAAAAGATGAATTTTTAAAAATCGAAAGAAACGTCTGTGAAACAATGAATCTTCATGATTTACTTTTGACTTTTTAAACATTTAGTAAACTAAACAGTAATAAACATCTCAAAGATGTGGTAGAGTAGCAAAAGTATTCTTTTTTAAACTTGAACGCTGATTCACTTATCTGCAGGTCGGGATCGAGAAAAGAATACACCTGCTGTTACCCAATGCATGTATCGTAAGAGGCGACTAGTGTGCGAATCCCTGCAGCATACGGGATTTGCTTGTGTATCCTCTGTTAAAGGACACAAAAGCGACCAAAATAAATCTGCTGTACTCATTGCAATATTTGGGATCTATTTCTTTCTACTTCTAACTAACTTTTACTTTCTAATCCCTTGCTTGGCTATACCTCACATTGTGAGTTAATAATGAGCGTTCTCCCATGTGATGGGAGGCAATGGGTTCTGTCCCCAGACAGGGACATAACAAATACATTTGGTATTCCCTGCTGGACGTTCAGCTTTGAGGGTAATGGCAGCAACTGGTTCAACCGTTGTCAGTATAATGTGACCGGGCGGAAAGCTGTGCTAGGTGCCTTCGGTATGCTATTTCAGTTAGATAGCACTATAAAGTCGGCATTAGATCCGCGCTATCACAAGGAGGCAAGTATGCCAACAAACCCTGTCTCCAGCACACATACACAAATGTACGCATACACAAGATACACGGATGCTCGTCCTTAAATGACCTAAGTCGTCTTTAGGACGTTAAACAAAATAAAACAAACACTTACTTTTCAACAAATGAGCCGGAATTTTGTAAAGAGCACCATCTGAAATTGTAGGAAAAATATATCTAGTTTTAGGTAAAGATAATTATTTTGCTGAATTTTGGGAAAGAAATGGATTGAAACATTTGAATTCGATACAGAAACATCGAGGAAATTATGTTATTCCATATATAACTAGTAGAAACACAAAATTTCAATGGCTTCAATTCAGAATTAATCAAAATTGATATCCCATACTGTAATCATTGTTACACTGAAAAACAAAAATACAGTTCATGCAATGTTGGAATGTAAATAATAACAACTTTTGATGGCAGATTTTCATTTCCTGTTAGATTCGTCGTTATTTTTATTTTGAACTATATTCTTCGAGTACTATCATATACTAATTGGGGTGCAGACCGTGAAATGCTTTTGCGACTCTACAGATCACTTATCCGTTAAAACCTCGATTATGGTCCACTGGTTCAGCACGCAGCTCTTATCTGTAAATGTTGAATCCGATCAGTAACCAAGGGCTGTGTCTAACACTTGGTGCTTTTTAACAACACCAGTGAAAAGCCTTTGCGTGGATTAAGATTTAAATAACATAGCTGATTACAACATACTAGATGTTTCACCATGGACAATACAAATACCTTATGTCAATTTTGAATTTGGCAAAATCGAGTGCACTGCCAAAAGAACACGAATTTTCCTTTCGGGATGTATTTCAAGGTTCCCTCTTCATACACATATTGTTCCGAAGATGGCAAAAAAGTAGCAACAGCCTGCTGCTCTGCTAACTTTTCCGCTTCCATTCGATTACCAGACGGTGCCCTATTTTCTCTGCGGAAGCGTGTGACATCTACCCTTGACTATATCGATGAACACGGCGTGAAAGGGCAATCGCCTGTTCTAACTCTCTTTCGGTCCTTAAAAGTCTGAAGTTATGAGACCACAAAAACACTCTAATACAAAACCTGTCCATCCGCATATCTTGTATCTTAAAGAAATGAAAAATAATTCTTCTATGATTTCCGAGTCACGTCGGAATAAAAGGTAACCAAACTGCTGACAGAGCATATGGATTATATCAAACTCCCAGTAAACCACTATTAAACTGCCGCATACAGATTAAACCCTTTATACGTTATGCCATTTAAAGTTAATGGCAACAACGGTATGGTCTCTCGAGACCAACAACAAACTATGTAAAACTTAAACCTTGTCTTCCTAGTCGATCTGTACTGGTCATACTTATCTCACTCATGCTTATACATGCCACACATATGACTCTCTATGTACAGTGGAGCACTATTTATTACAATGTTAAGATTTCAGATACATTCGTGGTAAGCACTTTAATGTTACGGACATAAAGACCATTTGCACCTCCGTAGATTTGGAGACATTATTCAATTATACAAAAGGCATTGGTCTGTTTTATTAAGTGTGATTCGATTTACCTACATCACTCTATTTGACGGCATTCATACATATCTCTTTCCATTTCAATCTTTACGTGATATTTTTTAACCAAAATGATTTTAAAGAATTCTAAGCCTAACTTTCTATTGATTTTATGATATATACGTTTTTTATTATATTTATATTGATTCCTCAAATGGTTGCCCTATAGTAAAAATCTTTCTTGTCCTAAATGACCGTAGTTATAGATGTGCCGTTAAACTCGAACAAACAAAACAAACACATTTTGAACAGTAATTATACTTTGTAGTAATAAAGGGGCTTACACAACACTTAAAATGATATTGCTCCAGGTAAAGGTGAGTCGTTTTAAATTAAACAAGGAATGGGATAAAATGGGAAAGATTAATAGATGCCACATAGTCGAAACAAGTTGTAGTATAACACTGCTACATGTGTAATCCCTGGCAATGGTGAACTCTAATAGGTTTTAAATAAATGTTTATAAATACAAATGAATACAACGTACATCTTTTTATCAATCCTGAACATCCTTTCGTTTTCTATTAAGACATTTTGACTGTTCCTTTTTATATATTACCATATCACATACAGAACTAAAGAAAGGCGTTCAGTTTCATTTTATGGGGGACTTCTTTTCCAAAGAAAAGTAAATTAAGGTGGTTTAGTAATTGAGCGTCAGCACCAGGGATCCCGTTATGATAACATTTTATTGGTTCACATGTTTCGGATGGCTATTCGGGCCAAGCTTATTTACTTGTTCATGTAAACTATGTTTCGACAGCTCTAAAGTGTCTGGCTTCAAAAAAAAAGAAGAGTACGAGAACATGCCTGACTTGACACCAGTACTTCGTTTTATAAACCTACCTAGTGATGATGATACAGCAAAAACACCTGATATCAGCGAAGGTGAACCGGGGGAAGCAAATTTCCTTTTTCACAACAGTCTTCGTGCTGAGAAATTCAAGACAGTTGGTTTACATCGGTTGGAAGAAGGAAATTTCACATCTGAAATATGGTATGTATGAGTTTGCATTTGAACCATATATTCATGTGTGCTACTTCACTCACCGAACGTTAGCGGATATTCATTTCCGAAATTGTGCTTCGGATGATTTAAATGATCAAAGGATACTGGAATTCGTGTTCGACTCTCCTCGCTGTTTCATACATTTGCAGTAGGGAGTAAATTATTTCAATATTTGTGTTTCATACATTTGCAGTAGGGAGTAAATTATTTCAATATTTGTATTCAATGAAAGGTAATGCAAACAGGTAGAATTGTGCTTCGGCGTGATAATGACCCTACATATCAGGGTCATTTGTGCTTGCCTCCTTGTGATATCGCGGATATGATGCCGACTTCATAGTGCTATCTCACTCAAATGCCATGTCGAAGGCACCCAGCACAGCATTCCGCTCGATCATATACTGAAAACGGGTGAGCCAGTTATTGCTCTATCTTATATTATGTTCTGTGTGTTTTTAAATACTTCAATTTTTTAATCTGTCATTTCAGCGAGGAACCTTTTCCTGTAATGCTGTTTCGGTTCCACAGTCTGGATAGGTTCGGGCCTATTTCCTGTGATCGTACAAACTACGGAACCCTGCTTCTACGGAAATGCATACAGATGAAAGAGCTAATGGTAAGGAAAATGTAGCACCATAATGCAACCATCTGGCAAAAATAACCATAAGGCCCAGAGTGATGATGTACGACCAGTCACATACCAGGATTATGATATAATGAATACGCTTTCTCCATTAATGTATGTAAAGTCGGAGGTGTCAAATGTTTTGATTATTCATTAGACCTATTCTAAATAGGAGGCCAAGGATACTGATATTTCGGCAGTAGCATGCATTGATAAATGGATATTATGAACGACCATTACTCGTATTCAAGATCACAAGGGTCATATGTTAAAAACCTTAAAACATTTTATTTTGGATAACCAAAATGCTTAGGGCTATGGTATTCGGTTAGTAACATGCCTGGATGAAGGGTTATCAAGTTTGTTCAAATGATTGTATATTCAAGATCACAAAGTATATGTGTGTTTAACCTAACGAAACTTCTTATAAAAACCGAGAGGCTAAAGGTGTTGATATATGGCTAATAACATGCCAGTATGGCGGGCTCTTTAGTAAGTATAAATGCATGACCGTCACCAAGACCGGGACCCAGTGTAATGACAATTGACCAGTAGCTTTCGTGGATGGAGAGTTATCAAGTTGTTCAAATAATTGATATTTACTCTCATGTTAAGGTCACGAGGGTTGAATGCTTTAAACGACGGCCGAAAAATCAAAAGGTCTTTCGTGATGATATTTTGTCAGTCGCATGCGTTAAAGGGCTCTCATATTTGTTTAATACTTTTTGTTTTTTGTTTTATATGGTAAAATGTATTAAAACATTCAAATTTAAACAACCTCTTTTGAATAATCAAGAGACCTCGGTCATGATATTTGATATGTAGCTTAGTGGTGCAATATGCCTACAAGTATTAGATCTGAATGAATAAACTATACCAATATGTACAGGTCAATAATAAAACCCGTTTGAATCTTCCAAAAACGACTTTAAAGGTGACGAGTGATAAAACTGTTCAGTATGGACCCGTAACGTATACAGTAATGAAAGTTTGACCAAAATTTGATCTAAAATCGTTTAAAAATCACAGATGTTGGATGAATAACAAAGTAGCGATACTGGTCCGCCAGGGCTTTTGTTCCATAAAGATACATAATGTATCGTTCCCCAATAAGTCCTGTCAACTTTATCAGTAGGACATGAATCCTATATAATGCATGAAAAGAAATAATTGTTGTAAACCATTGATTGCATAAAAATAGATCTTCCGCGAAAAAATGGAAACTTGATTCAATTCAATGTTCATGCAATGACGTCGTCTCCTCTATACCGTTTTCCTTTCAGGTTTCTGATGTCAACGGTTCACGATCGTACGTGGAAGGTATTATTCTATGGAAATGCTTTAGATTTTCAACAATGTCGAAAAATATTCTCCTTTTTATATATTGTATATTGTTTCTTATGGTAAAAAGATACGATTGGGAAAAGATTTATTTGTTTGTTGAATGATAAGGAAAGACAAAATGGCCTTCGGTTGAACGTATATAAATACATATAGCAATAAATGGAGTATCACTTCGTTTAGGGTATTTTATATGATACTTTGAAAACATATCAGGTCAGCGAACAAAGTTCTTGATTACCTTTTTAAAGTTTTTAATGAAAGTAATAAAGGAGATATCAGTAAACTGGTTATAAGTTTACCTATAAATGTAGCAGTTCCTACATTATACACATATGTAATACAAGTAATAGAGGACAAAATTTTAATGCAAAAGGTCATTTGATCAATTTTATTAACAACTGTTTTCTGCATAAAGCGGGAACAAACTAACTTTGCTAATATACCGGGTTCTGTTAGGATTGACTAGAAGGAATAAAGTAGTAAAACATCTAGAGATAAGAGTTACCTAAAACACACGTGGTACCCGTCATGACGTCACCAATCGAATCTCAGACGAGTATGTAGGTCAGCTCAACGATCTAACACAAAGTTTGCAAATCTTCAATTAGGTTAAACCTAAAAACTCATATTTTGATCTAACGTCATGATTACGACCGTATGTTTTTTTAAAGATAGAAACCACTTATGAAGATAACCCCGGTTAAGTAGTTTAAGTAAGACATATAATATATCCATTCCCCGAACCTGCAAGGATATAGGATTAGGCATGTATTTTATCGCTTTTCTCGAATTTATAGTAGACACCGAAGCCGGTCCGTCACAGCCCAAAGTCAGGCGAGTGGACAGCACATCTCAACACCGCAAAAACACAGCCGTCCTGTCAGTGGTATAACCGATATTTGACCTGTTCTGTTAGCTATTGTTGTTCATAAAGAGTCAAATCACTGACAATAAGAATTGTTATTTGGAGTTATAACTCACAAGATAGTATGTTTTGAGTATATGTGTCACAGTTTCATAGCTATTAACCAATGAGACAATCAGTATCGTCATCAATATTTGCATAATGTACAGTTTTCAAATAATTTTGAAGGTTAAATAATACATTCAAAAGTATCATTTGTTATTACTTGATCAAAATAATTTCATTTCTGATTCAGAATCAACATGCATTTGTGACTCTGTACCTTTTGGAGAAAATGTACCCAAATCCACCCCTCTACCATTCGAAAAGTATATGCATGGTGGTAGAAGCCATGTTATGTTTGGGGGAAATTGTAAGGAAACTGGTAGTATTCCCCAGTTGGTATATAGATTGTCTGTTTGATGAGAGATGGGAAGTGTTTACATCAGAAATTGAAGAGAGTATACGAAACAAAAGTTTCGTTGAACTGTACTCGACAGTTTTCTTAAAACATTGGAATGCCTCCGACACATTCTACAATGACCGCAACGGGAGTCTGTTGACTCTGCTGACTACAACGAAAGATTTACCGATAGGCTGGCGGGCACAGTTGTGTGGAAATGTGGTGTGTTCTGCACTCAAGATCCCATCTACCATGGACTTGTACTCATCAGGTATGATCTGATATACTTTCTTGTTATTGTCAATGTTTGGAAAATAATTGTTTACCATACGAAGTTGTCGTGTTCGTGTCTCTGTCTTTCGTCGGTCATATTGCTTTATATTTAACATTAAAATAAAACGTTGTATTACTTTATAATGCATTGAAAGGACCGAATTTTGCATGCTTTTTGTCATATTGATCTAACGAGACACAATTTTACAACAATAAATATATAAATAGTTCATAAAGACATGGGATTGGGGATGGGCCTAATATTACCTCGCCGGAGCAATGCATCAATCATGCACCACTAACACATCCAGATAACATAATAGGTGTTTTTAAAGTGCTAGAATCAAGGTGTTTCATGAGATCTGTTCACATTCAGTCGTCATATAAAGACTCATAAAATGGTTTCTCTGGTCCTCGAACTCCATGAACTTCTTTAACTGAACAAAGATACAAATAGCAAATTTTTCAATAAAAATATACAATAATTACAAAAGAAGATTTGAAACTATTTTAAAATAACATAATAATATATAAAACTCATGCAATAGGTTGATGTATGAAGAAAATATTCTTTGAACTTCACTTTGATTATATCATTTGATTACACTGAACTACAAATGCGTTTTGTTATGAAAATAGGCTAAATTATCGGTCTTAATTACGTTATTTGAGTGCGTTTAGCTATCGGGGTATACTATATCTGTGCCGATACGGTGTTTATTTGGAGATATAATGTAATTATGGTGATATAGTGCAACTGTAGTAATAAAAATGGAACTTTTATAAAGTGTAACCATGGTGACATAACAGTGATGATATAGCATAACTATGGTAATATAGTGTAAATATGGGGATATTGTGTAACGGTGGTGATACAGTGTAATTATGGTGATAACGCGTTACTATGCTGATATGCTGTAACTGTGCTGATATGATATTACTGTGGTGATTTAATGTAACTATGGTGATATTTTTAAAGTGTTACTATATTGACCAAATGTAGCTATAGGTATTTAGTATCACCATAGTAAAAGATTGTAACTATTGTGATATAGAGTTACTTTGTTGACCAAATGTGAATATTATTCTTTAGTATCACCATGGTGATAAATTGTAACTGTGGTGATATAGGTAGCAGTGTACAGTAGCGTACGGTGACCCTGGGTGATATTTTTGTACAGTGAATAACCCCTGTAATATTACATGTATCAAAATTAAAAAAAAAAAGTCTTCACTAAAATTGGCATAAACATGATGAAGTGGACTATGTAGGCTTCATATTTAAAAAAATGAAAGTTCGAATTTGGTTTGAGACTACATTTTTGGCCATTTACAAATCTGTATCTACACAACAATGTAATCTGTTTTTGTACTTAGCACATGTGTAAATATTGTGAAAACCACAGTTGAACGACCTATGCTAAAACGTGAGTATTTCTGTTATCGAGTAGATGCTATTTAATTCAAGACAGGTTTTAATAAAAGAATAACTTCTTGCGTGGGTTAAAAATCATGTTGTTTTTTTGCATTTTTTTGGTGTTTTTTGATGTGGTAACCATGGTTTTCACAAGTCCTAAATATTTTTGAAAAAAAAATCATTCTCCTAAAAACAATGTATTCAAAATGTAGTTTATATATATATATATATATATATATGTGTGTGTGTGTGTGTGTTGGTTTATGTGCAGGATGAATCCATTATCCATGTTTATCTGAGACATGCCCTTTATTTTAAGGATCATGCCATTTCTACTGTACTCTGCTACCTATAGTGTAAATATATTAATATAGTGTAACTATTGTCGTAACTTGTAACCATGGTGTAGCTGCTAACAGAGTATAATAGTCGTGATAATGTGCAATTGTGCTTATATAGTGTAACTGTGCAGATAAATAATAATTGTTGGATATTATAGTGTAACTATGGTGACAAAATGTTAAGTATGGTTCTATAGTGTAAATAAAGCGTAACTATGGTGATGGCGTGTAACCGTGGTGACATATTGTAACTATGGTGACAAAATATAAATGTGCTAACATAGTTGCAACTGAGGTGCTATAGTGTAACTATAGTAATAAAATAAAGCTGTGCTGGGAAAATGTTACAAAAAATGATAGCATTATTGATTGTAAAAATGGGTTTTACCTTATTTTATCTTTGTATCTTTATATATTGTATATTGTTGAAATAAAATTTAAAACGTATACATTATATCAAGGTAGGTTTCGAGTAAGATATCTGGATGAAAGAGTAGTACATAACAGTATATTATTAACATTTTCAGAGGCTGATGTTGACGTCTATAAAATTGTACAAATGGCAGCACTTGTGGCAAAGGTGTTTATAAAAGACTGCATCGCCGAATGCTGTGACACTGTAACTAAGGTAATGATAAGACATTTGCTGATATGTAACATTTGGCCTTAATTGTTCGATATATAATGAACCACAATTGTCCTTTCTTGCAGATTTTGGAAGCCTGTCTCGTCTGTTCCAATAAAGTGACATATCAACGAGTGTTCGATGTATTTTGGGATTACAGATCTGATCTGAACTATGCCAAACACAATGAACTCATGTTGCGTCTCCTTCTGAAGTATCTGCGCTTGTCCAGTTCCAATTTATGTCCGGCAAATGGAGAGATCCTCGATGGAATATTAACGTTTGCAGGAAAAATTGGACTTCAATTCGCAGTTGTTTCATTTAAAAATTGGGACATCCTTTCAGAAACGTTTGATATGCATCATTTGTCAACCATATTCAACACAGCATGCCTTGCGTTGAAGCCGCCACTACCCGATGATGTCATTGACGCGTTGGTGTCATATCTCTGTGCAGCATCCCACCACGATCTCGAATGCATGGATGTACTCAAAGCCATTCCAGAAGGACCAAGACGAAAAAGAGCGCTGGAATCCGTCTACGTCAACGCCGATAACTACTCATGCCAGGCTCTGTTTCATGTAGCGAGAACAGCAGAGGATAACAATAGCGGTATTCCCTTATCTGACTGTAACATTTTAAGTGATTTGGGACATCAACTACTGCAGAAGGCATTTGGGAGATATTGTAATCCGACAAATGCTGATATCTTGCAGGGCCGTTGCCTGCTGAGTGGTCATTGGGTATTAGACGTCTTGAATTGGTTCTTTTGTAGAATCTCGGAGATCGGGACTGAAGAGCGTGCCGCCGGGGATCAGTTTCAAACCTTCATGCACTCAATAGGAAATATCTTCAAATTTGAAACCCAGCTGTCGTTTCTTTCGCATATGCAAAACTCCTCAAGTTTACTGTCTGCCATCAGGGAGGTCGTGTCAGAAGGAGGTGACATCTATATAAATCCCTTCTGGTATAATTGGTTCAGCACAACGTAATTGACCATGCACGTTCATACATTGCTTTTCTCATTGGAACAGTTGGTGAATAATTAAATCAACAGATGACAGTAGAATATGTTTTACGTTCATTGTGATAAAATGCACATTTCTTTCTGTCTCTCTTTGCTTTACGTCTGACGTTTGTTATTTGATCAAAAAACGGTTCAAGATAGCAATAAGCATATGAAGACGATATTTATGTACAAAATAACTTAATTTATTCAAACTTCAGAATCAAATTATAAAATAAATACAAACAAACTCCCAGGGGTTATCATCCTAAGTATCAGAACACGACGAACGCGGAGCATCACGGCATATGTGTTGCCAGCCTAAAGGATAGAAAACGGTGTGTTATATTTTGTATATATTAATTCAAATAAACAAGCAAACAATCGTACCTTTAATACAAATATGTTTACTAATGTGATTGTCTGATTCGCATTTCAGTCAGAGCAAAATTCTGGCTTTGAAAGGTATCGGGATTTTTTTAAAAACTTTTTTGCTTATCAAATTATTATAATTCGAGGTATAGGTAACATTCAACTGACCTGCAAAGCAACTTGCATCTCAACATTGTCTTCCACTTTTAAATATCTGTCAATGTTTTGTTAAACATTTTAACAGTCACTTGGAAATGAATTGTTACTATTAACTTTCATCTGAATTTATATTTTGACACTATAATATGACTTTTATTTTACGTTTACTGTCTTATTAATGCTACTTTACGTTATTATAGTTACCGTCATATATTTGTTTCCAATGAAGTATGTATTATGTTGTTTACGCAGTAGATACGAGTTATCGCGCTTAGACAGATAAAGCGTAAAACAGAAAAAATACCGCAAAGACGTTTTCTTGCTATTTTACGTTTATTTTCTTACTGATACTACTTTGTTATTTATAGTTACCGAAAAGAAGAAAACTCACGTTCACTAGCCTGGTAACTAAATAGAAAACATATACTACAGCGTCACCACACATAAACAAAACGTGCCACAGAATCAACACACAGAGACAAAGAAAACCACATCATCTTCCAAAAAATGAAAAATTATCCTGCAGAAAAATACAAACAACAGGATATATCACATCGATTAAACACATGGACAAAGTACGTACTAGTATATCACAACGTAAATCAGCAAGGGCAGAATACCAGAATATCACAGGGACAATCACATACAAGGACTCTGACTCACCATTTGGGTCCTTAGTCCGGTGACGACGAGCTTGGATAACCTTCTAGCTTGAACGTTATACTTGAACTATAAACTAAAGATTTGATTGAAAATGGTTAAGACTGGTTGAAGATTTTTAACTTTTTGAGTGATCACTGGTCTGCTCTTTAGTGCTGGGTTTCAATAACTGATTTTTTTTCACGTTTGTGACTGTCGACTGACGTCCGGTTCCAGCGAGCATGACATATATAAAATCAATTACCCAAAGAATTACTAACTGTAAAAACCCATGAAGTACTTTTGAAGTATAACGTAAAAAAACATAAACTTGTCTAAGAGAAGAAAAAAAACCATTTATTGGAAAAGACAGCCAAAGGATCTTAAATGCATACTATGCAAGTCAAACTCTGAATGTCAACTAAAGCATGACAATGTGTATGAGACGGAGGTGTGGACAAATAGCGCGATTTTAGTTCGTTTCTTTTAAAGATTTGAAAACGTTTGAAATAAGATTGAAAATGAATTGTAAACTAAGAAATGTATTTTAACTGACAGTGTGGAAGAGATGCTCCGGGTTGTGCACATGCCAATCTGGTGAACTACGGCTAAGAAAGGCAGTCGATCGTGAACATACCAAAACTGAGAGCTTATGGAATTAATTTATCAATGAACGAAACATTTCATGAGTCATTTTTTTGTTTTTTACTTTTTTTACCGAATGAAAGAAAAACATGTTTATTGCAATTCTGACACCAAACTTCAATGAGGAATCTTTAGCATCACGTAAGAGTATATTCCTTATGTTTTATAAGTTTGACTAGGTTTGTTCGTTGAGTTGAATATTTATTCATCATATGATATATTTTTAGCTTACTTTTTAAAGATGTATTTATTTGAGTATTGCTCCGTTTCTTTTTCCCAAATATTTTATTGGTGCACGTAATACAAATNCATCATATGATATATTTTTAGCTTACTTTTTAAAGATGTATTTATTTGAGTATTGCTCCGTTTCTTTTTCCCAAATATTTTATTAGTGCGCGTAATACAAGGACAATCGATGTTATTATTTTAGACTTCCGTATTATGTATACTTTGATTAAAACGACATTATTGTTAACATCTTATGTTGTGTACTTACTTATGATATCACAATTAAAATTTAATCAATCACCTAGATAGCCTCAATTTGGGCGATTGTACTAGCGATTAGTCTTGGAGTGTTTTATTTCTGTATTTCTGTCATATGGACGTTTACATTTTCATAGTTTAAATTCCTAAGCTATATATAAATAAACGTTCATATTTAAGCGAAGAAGTAAAAGCGAAAATATGTGCATTTGGAATTAGAATAAAATGTTCGAGGAATTCCGCTCCTTTATCTAGACATAAACATAAACAAGACAAAACAAATAATAGAAAACAGAAAAAAACAGTCGTAATGAATTTCNGTGCATTTGGAATTAGAATAAAATGTTCGAGGAATTCCGCTCCTTTATCTAGACATAAACATAAAAAAAGACAAAACAAATAATAGAAAACATTGAAAAACAGTAGTAATGAATTTCAAATTTTACTGTTAAAGCACATCCCCTCGCGATCGGTAAGTTTGGAACACAAGGCTATCTATAATGAAAAATCCAGTTTTAAGTTATGTACTAAAATGAATTAATAACTATTTAAATTCTGGATAAATCTCCATGCGCAATTTTGTTATCTGACCAAAGCAAAGTCTGAAAAACTTAGTTACCTCCTCAATATATGTTAAGACTATTTCATATTTCTTGTAGATGTGAACACGAAATAAATTAGAAGATATAATTAAATTCTATAGACTAATTTGAATTTGTACATTAATTTGTCACGTTAGAATACAGATTTTAATGTTCGCTTTAGAAAGTATGAGGTATAAACACTAACTATAGCCACAGAAAATAATATTCGACGTGTCCAACACATCAAGAATATGAAAGCAACACACAACTATTGTTCTGCTTTAAAGGATAATGTAAACTTTAAAATATGGCACGGCATCATCACACAATGTCACTAATCAAAACCCAGTCTCGCCACAATGAGACATCAACTGGAACCTGCGTTTCCTGTACTACATTTGTCAACCGTCACGATGTCCCCGGCCTAATTCAGGGTAGTACTTAGTAACCAACGATGCAGGACCTGCAAGGTCTGCTGTAACACTCGGTATGTTATCTGGCAATGCCAACAAAGTGGATTTCTAAAACAATTAAATAAAAACAAGTTGTATTAAACGAATTGTAATAAAATGAACTTATACACGGATAAAATGGAAAATAGAGACTTGTCGACCCTTTCCTCGCATTCAAATATGATAGTGCTTTTCGGGAGCTACGATTCTTTATTCCACGATAAATATCTTTCCTTTCATTGGTAGAAAAATATCAGTCAGATGTCTACGCTACCATCAAAACATATAGCACATTTCGATTCCCTGCTCCGACGTCTTTCTTAGTACAAGGGCATTCTGCATAGATGCGTCTTGTTAAACTACGAACCCAGTATTGTTATCGAAGGTTTCTCTATGTATGGACGAAGGTGTGCTGTCGCAGTCAATACCCAAAACCATAGTAGTTCGGTGTCCAGTATGATTACACTTGCTTTCTGTGTCCAGGTTTTCCTGATGACATTAGCACTTTCTATGAGTTGACGGAGACATAATGGCGGATGTTCCATGTGGTACAGCTAACGTTTATCCCTTTGTAGCACCTGGTTTCACCAATAACATTGTGTGTGGGTTCATGGTGACTTTTGCTTTGGTTTGGTGTCTCATTAGTTTGAATGGTGTCTCATTGGTTTGGTGTCTCATTGGTTTGGTGTCCCATTGGTTTGATGTGTTATTTTTTCGTATTGACTCCCGAATGAATTAGTGTGCTGACGTTGTGGTATTTTGTGTGCTGACGCTGTGGTATTTTGTATGCTGACGTTGTGGTCTTTTGCGGTGTTCTGACGCTGTGGTATCCGAACAATGATTAATTCTCCTCGAGGTAAACAATACATGTTGTAGTTTTGATCACAATGTGCATTGTCTTTAAAATTCAACCAATAAAATCCTGTCTTTTACGCAAACATTGGTCATCGATTATGTAGACGAAATCTCATATTTAAGAATCACTCCTCCAAATCATTGATTTGGGGATTCGTTAAGATATCTTGGCAACAAAAATTGAAAACAAAGCATGTGCTGTATACGGTATACCATGGCTATCATAGGGTGACACTGCATAATTATTAAATAAAAAGTCGAAAACACAAGGTATGTATTTAAACACCATAGTGTCCAAAAGCAAACGTGTGCAGTAAAGTTGTTATTTAGGTTACAGGGTTGGATCCTTCATAATTAGTAAATGAAATGTCGAAAACATAAGGTATGTATTTAAAAACTTGACAAAGGTCACAAAGTGGATGTTTTCGTCATTTAAATGTCAGGATGGTAAGAATGACATCGCAGTTTTCTATTTTGTGTATGTATAAAATAAACGATAAGAAAGTCAAAGGGCGTCCAACTTAATTAGATGTAACGAATCGATTAATAACATTTTAAATACACAGGTATTGGGGTCGGTATCATCATTTCCTCCTGTTGAATAGGACACCATGCTGATAGAGCTAAGACTGATGGGGTAGTAGTACCAGTGTCTCTGTGTATACAGGACAGTGGGAGGAGGGCCTCTCGACTGGAGTGAGGGTGCACGTGGAGGCAGGGTGTAGACACTGACACAAGATACACGTCAGCTCTGTATGTGAGGACCCCGGGGAACATTCACGAGGCAAACTATAGGCGGAGTGATCATGAGTGGCTACAATTACGTCAAATCCATAAATGCCACCTCGGGGTTATGACAAGGTCG